TGATTCCATGATTCCATGATTGATTCCATGATTAATTCCATGATTGATTCCATGATTGACTCCATGATTCCATGATTCCATGATTGATTCCATGATTGACTCCATGATTCCATGATTCCATGATTGATTCCATGATTGATTCCATGATTAATTCCATGATTCCATGACTGACTCCATGATTCCATCCCTGCATGCCCTGCCATCCCAAATCCCCTTGCCCAGTCCACACCCAGCTGGTTTTTCATCCCTGAAGTGTTCTCCCAGAAAATCACCCCAGGCCTGAGTTTCCTTGGCAGGGGAATCTCTCAGTGCTGGTCCCCACATTGATGACTTAATTCAATCAGAAATGAAAAATCCAATGTCATCAGCCTGGCCCGTGCCAATCACAGCCAGAGGAGCCCAAGGAAATAGAAAGGATTTTATTTTTCTTGCAGTTTGTCAGTGGAAAGATATTCCATCCTTTTTTTTTTTTTTTTTTTTTTCTATAAAAAAAACACCAAGCAAATCTGTATTTAATAGAGCAAGTATTTTGTGTAATATGCAGAAAGTATAGAAAATGAAGAGATGTGTGTTTATTAAAAAATTCTTGATGCTCTGCACAAGGTTGACCACAAGAAGAGAGGAAAGTTTATCTTTGGAAGTTTAAATTTTCACTTGTGGTAGGAATTTGCTTGTGGAGTGGCAGTGGTACTGAGGAGAGGTTTTGGGCAGAAAACCAGAATGATTTAAACCCAATCTCTGTCATTAAATAGCTCATTACCTCAGCCCTGCTAAAAATGGAGACTTTTGCTGGTGAAATACAATCCAAGAACATCCCCAGTTGTAATTTTCTTTGCCTAACAGAAAACACAGGTTTAGCTCTTTGGAGATTTTACAGCAATTTCCACGAGCGAGTTGGAAGAAAAAGATTCCCAAATTCAGAATTTTGCAGTTATAAGAAATGGTGTAATAGAAAAGATGATTTTTTTTTTTTTTTTTTTTCCATGGCATGCTGGAAAAAATGGAGAGGGGGATTTGTGAAGCTCAGAAAAGAAAATTTATCAGTAGTTCTTATTCTTCAAAATGAAAATAAAATAGCATTAGTTGCTTATAATACAGATTTATATGCACACATATTTTATATATTATTATGTATAACTTTGTGTATTATTACAAGCCTCTTGCTCTGCACGTGGGTTTTTGCAGATCCTCACCAATCATTTTTCCACTTTTTTTTTTTTTTTTTTTTTTTTGTGAATTCTGGTTAATTATTCCAAGAGGATGAAGATCAGAATCTGCAAATTTGATGCAGAATTGGTGGTTGGCTGGAGGAAGGAGCTCCATGAACTACATGAAGGGGACCCTGTGCCCTTGTGTTATTGGACCCCAAAATTCCCATTTTGGCTCCAGACAGCACCTGCTGCTCAGGGAAGGATTTATTCACATGGAAATAATTCTATTTTAGGGACAGGATTGTTGCTGAAAAATAATTAAAAAAAAAATTAAAAAAACCCCATAAATTCCCCCACCCAAAGCCTGCAGTGCTCACAGAGGGGAGGAAACTGGGGGGGAAAAATTTGGGGTGAATTTTCCCATTTCCCTTTAATTTCACCCAGAACACGTCCCTGCCTTTTAACCCCATCAAACAAAGTGTTGGCTGAGAACCCCTCATGCTAAAATCTGATTTTTAACTCTGAATGATTCATCTTCTGCTTGAAATCCCAAAGAAATTCACTTTTTTAGACCCAAAAACCAAGCAAGAAATCCCTCATCAAAGCTTGGTGCTCCTGACATCGAAATATTTTCTAAATAATAAAAGAAATATTTTCTAAATAATAAAAGAATAAAAGATTTCTTCCACAGGGATGGGAGCTCTGCTCCTGCTGCAGGAGTTGAAGGATGCAATGGAAATTAAATGCAATTAATTCATTAATTCTTGAATTAAAATGGAATTAAACACTGGCTCTTGCTTCCCAAAAATGCACAGAGCAGCTCTGGGGCAGCTTCATGGGAAACACTTTGGGTTGGCAGTGGGATGAGGTGATGGATGGAGAAATAAAAAGAAATAGAAAAATAAAAGATGTATAAATATAAAATCAAGATATAAATATAATATATAGATAGTAAAATACAAAAAATAGAAATACAAATACAAATATATAAATATACATATAAATACAAATATAAATATACATATAAATGTTAAAATACAAACATTA